AAAGTAACTGTAGAGTTAACATATATTTTTTTAGATGATGATGTGCTAAATCTGCAGTAACAGAGCAGAATCTGTTCTGCAGCCATGTTTGTAAATTAGTTTATTAGGTAACTTGACTTAATGATTATTACACACAACTATAGAAAAATAGTTAAAGAAATATTTTGACATGCTAGGAAATACGGTCATTTGCTTTCTGGCGGAGACTTAAATTATAAGATTCATACAACCAGTTAGCTGGTTTAGCACAATGAGTGAAAACAAGGTGAAACAGCTAGCCTAGGTCTGTTAAGTGATAACAAAATCTACCAGCATTTCATCCTGTTACAGGAGATTATGTGCCAGATAATTCTTTGGTTACAACTTCCTGGAGTCTTCACTGGTTACCTGGCAACTGCTCAGAGCCAAGAAAAAGTCTGACAAATAACCCTCCCAGAAAATAGGGAACTTTTATTTTAATTAGTGAGCTTTAAAGGTGCTGGTAGCCATTTCCCGCTGTATCTAGTCTTTATGCTAAGCTAAGCTAACTCTAACTCTCCGCCAGAAAGCAAATAAGCATATTTTTTCCAAAATGTTTAACTTAATTATTTCCACTGTTGACCATGATCTAAGACAACAGGGATTCAAGTGACTGGGCAACATCATTCTGAGAAAACCAACATGATCAATACTCAATAAATCAGTGAACATCGTATACAGTTCTGCATTTCATGATCTTCTGACTTCAGGCAGACTCTTCCCTATAATTCCATTTGTTGTATGTAATATAACATATCTATCTTAAGAGAATATATGATCACAGAAGAGACAGTATATATGCAGAACACATATTCACTATGCATTTTTACTGTTTATGTGAGCATAATTCACATTTTGTACATTTGTATACATGCTCTGAATTCACATATCTGCTAGCTGTCTTCATATTCCCCAATATTCCTTGTCTTTGTCATATACCACATACATAGATACTTGAACCTTTACTTTGAACCAAATTTTATTTTGCACATTATATTATTGGTATGTTTTTAGATGGTGCATAATCTGGGTTTCTTCTGATCCCATAGGAAGGGGGGACATTTTCAAGACAACACAGGATCATTTTGACGAGAATGAATGGAGCTGAAAAAGTAGCCTGTGGTCAATCCATACTGGTTAATTGAGGCAGTTAGGGTAGAAGCAACTTAAAAGCCTCAGTCCTCCTTGACACTGATGGCTGTCCTATAAGGGACCCTCAGTAGGGCCCTCAGGTCTTTTGATAGGGCATTCGCCAGTGTCCTTTGGGGCTGCCTCACCCCCCACAATAAACAGGCAGCCCTTTGTCACTGGGAGAAGGGGGGTCTGAAGGGTTGCTCCTCGTTATTATTTTCTAAAGTAATTATACCTTATTATCTGTGTTTACTTTAGCGGGGGTGCGAGCGTGCAGGTGTGGGCCATTCGGCAGTGGGTTGGCAGTCTCACTGGTGAACGCACCCCGAGTGTCTTTTTTTTTTAAACTCTCTCCCCTCCATCTTTACTTGGAGGTTTTAGGGGGTTTTAGTAGTAGTATTGTAGCCCCGCCGCTAATTTCAGCTCAACAAAAGAAACGTGCAATTAGGGCTATTATAGTAGCAGCTGCATGCTTCCTAGCTGTGCAGCGACAGCTTCGTCTTCTCCCTGGCTCGGCGGTGAAGGGATTGGAGAGGGGAGAAGAGCAGGGCCTGCAGCAGTGGGGAAAGAGCTGGAATGGCCTCAGTAGCCTCCAGTGTCTGCTGAAAAGAGAGGAAAATATAGCCTGGGAAGCTGGTGTGTTTCCTCTGTGTAGACACAGCGGGGACTCTCGCCCACAGGCTTGTGGGCCTTGAAAACAATGGATCTGCCATCTCCCAACATGAAGTGTTATGAAATAGTCCTTGCCACAGTTCCATTGGCTGCTCTCTTGCATGAAGTCATGTGGTCTCAGATCTGCGTGGGTTGAGGAAAAAACGATTTGCAAATGCTTTTTGAAGAATCTAGGCTTTTAAGAATCAGTTTACAGAATTTGCGAGCATTCAGTAGTTCCCACACAGACCGATCCAGAATGCAATCAGGTGAAAGTATTACATATGGCTTTGAGTTCTGTATATTGGATTTCTGCACTAAACTTTACAACCACTAACACAAAGACAGAGAACTGCCCTTTATTTTTAGAAGCAATCCATTCTTTAAAAGATTTAAAATGTGACCTTTCATTGATTCAAAATATTCACCCAGCAGATTGTTATTCAGGGCTCTCTATGTAAGTCAATACAAGCCACACTGAGTCCCTCTCGTACATGTCAAGGTGAATCATGTGGGTCACAAAGGAACAACAAAAATGCTTGCACAAATTAAAGTCAGGATTAAATGGGATCAAAGAAGAACTAGTGCGGAGAAACTGAAAAGCCTGGCGATATGTGCGAGGTTGAATATTGAGGGCCCATCGAGGCCCTCATGGCATCAAACACAAGGGACCAATCTCATGCTCTCAGCACAAACAAAATGGTCACAGGTCCTCCTCTGTTGCTCTCACTTACTGATTCTCTCACTCCACTGACTTCCCTACCCTTAGAATAATCATCAGGCCCAAGGCCTTTAGTTTCAAGGGCATAAACAGATCAGAATATCACATACGTATGAATTTGAGATCTTTCAGTTTACTTGATGAACGTGAACTTGCTTTATTTCCTGCAGTACTCGCCAAAAAAATATTTATTTTCTTTACTGACACATATATCAGTAGCAGCTGGAGCATTGTCTTTCAATCACAATATGGGCTGCGCACTCAGGAGAGCTGTTGGGCTGTGATATGCAGCTGATTGGGATAATAACTGGTAGTAAACAGGGATTTTGTATTTTCCCAGAGGAGAATAAGAGACTGTCAGATGCTTGTCAGCATGCTTTCAGTTGCCAACATTTAAACGCTTGACCTGTGCAAACAGATTTCCACTTCCACCTTGTCCAGCCTTTAGTGCCAAAATCTGATTAACACTTTGAAGTGCAGAACTGATCTTTCCAAATATAAACAGCACATAGTGCTGGTAAATCAGATCCTACAAGAGAAAACTAACAAAGGCTAGCAGGAATGGCCACCCATAGGCTGAAGGCAGTGGTGGAAAAAATATTCTAAATGTGGCATAAATTATCAATACCATAAAGGAACTGTGCTTTGTAAGTGGTCTAATCATTCGATACATACACTTGTGGTGTTGTACCCTCTAGAGGCAGGAAGCAATGTAAAAGGACGCACAGATACGGTGCTGAGCTTCATTTATAATGTTGTATATGAGATGGGGAAGGAAGGTTGATGATAAAATATTCATTTAAAACTTGTGATTTGTATTATTGTTTATTCAATTAATACTTGTTTATTCAATTAATACTGTGTTTTTAAGTTTAATTTTTTGTTATTCTAGCACGGTGATGTGTTTTTTTTTAATGTTGAAAAATACAGATGCTCAGTTTGGAGACAAGTTGATTATATTGAAAAGGTTTAGAGTATTTTACTGTATCACTTGTCTTCGGGGGAAAAAACAGCTTTGTAGGACTTGACTACAGGCAGAAATGACTTAAGATGGGGATTTTTGGCATTGTATCAACATTAATCTGAAGCCAACACATTCCTTCCACACAATGCATGACGCTTATTGTTTTGCAAATACACCCATCATTCAAAGTAACTAGGAGCAATACATAAATTGGATATGGATTAGAAACTTTTCATCTCAAATTAGTTGAAGTTGCACAAAATGGACATTTTCAAGTACAAACATTATCCGTAAACTATAGTGCATGCATGAGTAAATGCATTTAGGTTACTTTCCACTTCTAGAGGCAGAGAATAGATGTTGTTTTCAGGATGAAAGCTGCTCTTGCAGCCTTGGTCTTACTGGCATCCATTTCACCTCATTAGGACCCTGGGACTGAGAGTCGACAAAACACTGAGAGAAATCATTTTGCCGGGGGAGTGTGGCGGGGATAAATTGGCCTCTGGTTCAGTACGAGAGTCCCCACTGTGCCAAGCGGAAGAGAAGGGCCTGGCTGGCAGTAGGGGCAGGCCCAGGCAAGGCAGGCTGGGAGGCCCCATGCTGAGACCCCCTCCCTGCCTCTGACAAACACGGCAGTGGATAATCTCTCCTTCAGGGACTCAGCCCAGTGCTGTGGGGCTGAGAGGGAAGGGGGCTGTTATACAGCACAGTGCGGAGGAACTGCCTCTGTATGTGCGTAGCATGCACCACAATCACACTTACACACACTTGTTTGCATTGTGTGTACTTCCACTGCACAAAGCTTATGTACATCTCAATTTCCCGCATGCACACTTTGTCTAACTCTCTCATCACTTTGACAGTTTCAATAAATAGAGCCTTACCTAAAAGTACGGCTGCTACAAAATGATCATGAATATCTCAGATAAAGTCTGTCAAGCACTTGAACTTGAGTAATATTCAAAATTCATGCAGTCAAAAATAAACGCACAATGTGTCAGAGGGCAATAACAAGCCATCCATTACAGGTAGATTGGGTTGAGCCGGCAGGTGTACTTCTGAGATCAACAACTCTTACGAAGTCTGTAATTTGTAGATATTTGAGTCATCTTCCACACAAAAACTAATAACTGCAAAGATGGATTTAGTTTATGTAACAAAGAATAAGAGCAGTGTGAGGACTTGGTGAAAAATAAAGACTGGCTAAATTTCCGGTAATGACCATTCATCAGTTAAATTTAGCCATTAGTTATGCTGCATGAATTGGAGGTATGAAGGCAAATATAATCTATTAATTTACCAATATAGCTTGTTTAATTTTGGGAATGTTTTTTGATTACTAAAGAAATATAGTTTTATCAGGTTAGATGATTGATTGAAGATTGAATATTACTAAGCTGGACAGAACACATAGATGTAAAATAAACTCTAATGTAGTGCGTAAACAACAGTTTAATATATCATCTGTAAATGCCATCATCTAAACACTGGTCAGTAAAAACACTCAAGGAACGGTTTTCTCCAAACACTTTACTTCTATCAATATTTATTACAAAAAAAGAAACACATTAACATCATCAAATCTCCTCCTCTGGTGCTCTGTGGTCAACCAATAATATTCAAATAGAAATGTCCATATCCAATGTCATCGATTACTGAAGGGCCCCGTCAGCCGTTATGACGTCTCCATCTTGTAACCATGTTTTTCCAGCTCAGCTCTGCAGGGAGGAAAAGGAAAATAGAAAGATCAAGTCAGTAGAGATGATTACAGGTGGGTGGTTGAGGCATAAGTACCCTCTGCTATTGATTGTGAGAACCATTAAGAGATGGGAGTGAAAAAATATATAAATATTGCATAATGCGTGCAGCTATGGATTTGATGATTACATATATATGGCAGCTGTGCCCTTTAACAATAATGATATCTTTAAGAAACAGCTTAATAGCATGGCTATCATAATTGGTCTAAATAAAACAATAGCATATTACTGTCTAAAGTGTGCTCAAATAAAAACAGACCAGCCACTTATGTACCACAGTTATTGATTATTCAATAAGTGAGTATGAGCCTTGAAAGCATGACTGATCTTACGATGATAACTTTGATGTGTAATGCATAGTTCTATTAAAAGAGTTACACTGTGAAACCTGAAATAGTTAAGGCACTTTTTATGTTTTCGAGACGTCTATGGCACAATTTCAGATACGTGTAAAACATGCAGCGGCCCACTGTAATTAACAACAACCTCAGCTATTGAAGAGGAGCTGCACAATGGCTGCAAAATAAGTTCAAAATTGCTCAACGCATTAATATTGATTAAAGAGTAATCTGCAAAAAGTATCTTATTAAAAAGGCATTTTGGTGTTGGAGGTTCCTGACCTACAATTAAAGCTGTGTATATTAAAGAAACCTTTCATCTTTAAAAAGAGGCCATATGCTTTGAACTGGATTTTAAATTTCGTGTTTTATTTGGCGTGTATTGAAGGAGGAAATATTATTTTTTTAAATATTAAAATTACCTGACTTTAAAATCCACATTGTTGGTAGAAATCAGTGATCGGTGAATCAAGCCTCTGGATCATAAATGTATCTGTATTGAGATGTTGACTGACGCTAAAATAATTTGTAACAGTAAATCCATAATGACGGCCCAAAAGATAAAACATTTTTGAACGCGTATACTGACTGAATTTATAAGAGCCATGTCCAGAACTATAGTTTTGGTTCCATAAAACAATTACAATACCATACAGAAGTACTGGCCTTAGTGTAACAGATCACAGAAATAACTTGTAAGCGGTCCTGTTGTGTTTAAAACTATTTAAATCAGCAGAATGCAACTACATATGTGGGAATATTTTGTATACTCCTGATTCTTAATAACAAACACACAAGATATAAAGTATTTCCAGACATATCCCCCTTGGTTTTATAGTACTACGTCACAGTACAGAAGTCTACATCAAAAACAGAAATCAAGGATCAATATCAGAAATCAAGGATCAATATCTTGCCACTCCATTAGTGTAGTGCAAATTATTGGAGGTAAGGAGGGTTTGTGTGTCACTAAAGGATGTGTTTATCTGTGGACACATGTTGGTTATTGTCAGCCTCATTTGGTATATGTCGAGTAATTAATCAAAGAGCTGTGCCTCTCATGTTTAATATTTCATGAGGATTTGACCTACAAGCATTAAATCAAGTATAAGAAATTAGTACACACCACGAATGACTTCAATAATCTATGGGAATAAACCACTGACAGCCTCAATGGGAGAGTAGCTCAACACTGTGTATTGTGTTGCATTGTTAGATTACCTGAGTTGATTTGAGAAATCATCTTCTACGTTGTCATCGTCCCAGTTGTCTTCCCAAACATGAGCATCTTCATCTTCATCCAGCCCCGTCCAATCTAGGCATTATAAAGTGGAACATCACCAACATTAGAAAACAAAATAGGGACCCCTCTATCAACAGCGTTATCTCTAGCTGTCGTAAAAGAAACATAAAAACCAACACAAACCCCGTGTAAACATCCTTTTAGCTACAGCTTGCTGTTTAGCTACCTGAACGGCTAACACTTTAACGTTAGGTTAGCATCAAACGTTAGCAAGGAAGCTAAAGTATACACGCTGGCATAATAACAGAGAGGTAAATATGAAGTTACAACAGCTGAGACATTAAAAGGCTAACAGTAATTAGCTTAGTTAGCTAGCTAAATGAGCCGTCTGTGGCGTGTTACCAGCGGGCTCACTAGCTAATGCTAACGCTAATATGGCCAAGCTAGCTGAGTCACCGTTGTAAGGCCCAGCACAGGCCTGAGTTACCGATGGACAGTAAAGAGACAACAGGAGCAGTATGACTTCAAATAGTATCTGCATTATTTACCCTCAGCTGGGAATTCTTCAAACTCATCATCCTCCTCCAGTAAACCCAGGTCCACGGTCTGTTTCTTGTCTGACATGTTGGCTGTGCTGCCGCTGTGTCGCTCTTTGTAAATGAATGGCTCTTAAACGCAGAACGGACTTGTGGGACGCTGACGTTGTTCAGGCGGGTAGAGATTGCGTAAAGTGCGCAGGAAGGCGCAGTCATCACCGTAGCTTAACAGCAAGGCAAGGTAAGGGACATTTTTTTTAATGCAGCACATTTCATTTCAAGTAAACGTATTGTGCTTTACATTAATATGCATGTGAAACATACAACAACAGACAGACAATCACACACATAGCCTACTAATCAACAGCTTGATAAAGTTTCCAAAGAGAGCATTGCAGTAGTCTAACTTTTTGAGATTAATACATGAAAAACTTCTCAGAATCAACTTGGGATATAAATCCTTTAAGTTTTTAAAGCCTTGTCAAGTTATAAATGACTGATTTTGAAGTTTGCTCTCTTTGAGTTTTAGGACTACAAGTATGTGAGTCTAATCTTTATTCAATTGTAAAATAATTCTGGACATCGTGTAGCTCATATCATCAATACAGTTTACTGTGGTCCACCTGCTTGTGGTGTCATGGTGCATGCTGTAGGCCTATGCTGTCTATCAAATAATATTAATTAATAGTAATAACTTTGTAAATAAAAAAAGAAAAGCTTTTCGTTAAAAGTGTTCACACCCATTTGTAGTTTTCAGTTCAATTCAATTTTATTATTATAGAGCCAAATCATAACAGAAGTTATCTCAGGACACTTATCATCATATAGAGCGGGTCGAGACCGTACTCCTTATAAAATTATTTGCAGAGACCCAACAACTCCCACCATGAGCACACACGTTTATCAGTAACAAAGTGGGTACTACTGTGAAAGTGGTGTAGTTGATGAAATGTTGTGGTTTATTGGGTGGAAGTGAATATTTCATACATAATTAAGTTGCTGATAATTCAACTTGCACAAATCTCAATGTAGAGCTCAACAGAGCCAGGGCTACTGTATGTGTTTTCTTGTTTCCGTGTTTCCAGCATGGACGGCTTTCAGTAACAGTTGTTCGACACATTGAAAATGTGGAGCAAATCTTAGATAATGCTTGCAAATATTTGGTAAAACAGAAACGTCTTTCTCTCTGCCCCTCTGAATTTGTCCCTGTATGTTTCACTCTCTCCCAGACACACACTCTCTCCTACACCACCACAAAAGCCTCGCACAGTCCCCTTTCCTCAAAACATATGCACACAAGTCAGTCAAATTTCAGCATAGATTTTTCATTTAAGAACAATTGCACATTGTAAGTCATGTGGCCTGCTCAAATAATGAAGCGGCAGCCACAGCTTAGGATGTATTTTAGATAAATGAGAGCACACATTTACCACAAAACCACACGTACCACAATGAAAATTGCTCTGCAGCTGTCATATGTTGACAGATGGAGCAAACCTCAACTTAGGCTCAACGTACTTATTCTATTTTCAAATTATTTTGTAATCATCCTAAGCCTTTACACATGACAATGCCACAACATTTCGGGGGAAAGGGGAACGAGACATGGAGAGAAAGTGCAGGAAGTAAATTCCACTGTGTTTAAATTGCCTTATTCCACTTAGATGTAGAAATGCATGCTTAAAACTACAGGATTTTAGCTGTAAAGGACCATTTAAAACAAGCTCCTGTCTGCACGCAAATTAGAATAAACTCTAAAAACATTTCTAAAGACTAAAAATACAGGTTTTTGAATGAAGGAATCCCTGTTATAAGCTTATTGGATATTTTTAAGGTAGCAACTAACAATCATTTTCATCACAGATTAATCTGCAGATCATTTTCCTTTAGTTCTTTAGTTATTAGCTGCTGTCGGGGGCCTCTAACAACATTTCTGACAACAAAATATGTTTGTGTCACTTTTAAAGAGACCATATGATTCAAATTACAAGTGCAATCAAATTTAATTAGGCTGCAAGCTATAAAATGGCAATGGAAGAGGCAGTTTCACTCACATCTTCAGTTAGAAAATGTATTTGATTTATGAATGATCACGCTTTCAGTTGGCCTCCCTTAAGTATAGCTGATCCTAGTACCTGCATCACTCATAGTCTCAGGTGCAGGTGAAGCCCTGGGAAGTGACTACAGTGTCTGCCCAGCATACCTGAGACTGCAGTTACACCACGCCTGGCGCCTGGAGTCTCTCTGCTTGGGTAAAATAGGAGGAGGTAGAGGTGGGGGGGGTGTCATAGCAGGGAGATACAACATGGCCACCGCAGACAGACTCCACCATAACTTGTGGATGAGTAGCAGCATCACATTTCTGTCCTTTCACAAACCCCTCTGGGAAAGGACAGGTCGGCAGCCGCTATAAGTACACTGAAAGAGACAGACAGAGGAAGACTCCAGCTGAAGCCTGTCCAGCCAGTCTGATGGTCTGGGCTCCCCCCACCCCCGCACCCCACGGCCTGGCTTCTTTATCACAGGCCCGACTCCTGATATGGCCTAGAGGCAGTGCACAGTGAGAGGTGGATGGATGGAAATGGGTGGAGATTTAAAGGGAGAAGAGAGAAGCGCATGTGTGTCACGAAATAATCCTGATCACCCCCTAGAGATAACAGACAAGACCTCTTCTTCTGAATGTCAGAGAAAGTGACATAGGAAGGTAGCTGGCTGTCTGCTTTGTCGTCTAGCTGTATATTCGCTGTACCTGTGGACACTTTGTCTAGACAACCCCCTCCCAACAATTATACTTTGCATTGTCATTTTCCCTCCCTCAAAATGGAGGCTTCCTACGGTGCCACTCGAAACTGAGCGCTTGCATGCCTTTTAGGGAAGTTTAGTTGTGTTTGAGCTTCTTTTTGTTGTCAAAGCTGTGAAAGTATTAAGACAAGAAAAAGGAATGGGATATATGAGCTTAAAGAAATGTCCTAAGACATACAAGAAAGTGATCATCGTGGATTAAGGGGACTTAACTAGCCAATTAATGAGGCAAATCCAAGAAAAAACATGTAAGCTTTGCTCCTAGGAAATCTGCAGTGAGAGCGATATGCTTCCAGGATATGTCTGTCAAGATCCTGTATTAAATTTAATCCCAGCCAGTCAGTAAGTCTACTCCATTGTGTGTTGTGTGGAAACCAAGTCTCTCTTTTCATATAAATACTTACATCCAGTAGAGAACAGTGGGTATTGATTATTTCAAGCAAAAACCAATGCAGTAGTACAATCAATTAAAATTTCCATTGGCATCAAATGAACTTAAAAAAAAGAGAAAGGATCTCTCCGTGTTTGTTTTGTTTTACAGAGTCTGGGGGTCTCATTCATTGAGATGTCTGTCATGACGAATTTAAGTTTCATATTTTCCTCCCTGTCCGTCTTGAAAAGCTCTGTCATCTTGGGCTTGAGGTACAGTTTGCCAAGAGGCTAATGGCCCTTTATGACAGTACAATCTGATGCCTGTCCAGGGTAGCCTCCAGGTAATCCTGTCCACCTCGGCGGCTTAGCCCTGCTCGGGCTTAAGTTGCATATTTTGTTTTTATCAGGACACTGCTGATAAATGCTATCAGCGAGGGAGAAATGAAATATGGGGGGTCTAGCTCCATTTTGCCTGAGCCCCTAGTTGAAATCTGGAGTTGAGGAACAATGACACCTCTATTGGTAGAGGCAGACTGTCTATAGGGTTGGAATAAACAGAATATTACTCCCAATATACTCATAATAGGTATTTGCTAATACTGTTTAAGATTGTTACCAACACTGAGTGGACACAAATTCCACTCACAGGCTTTGCAAACCTTTAAATTTAAAATTTCTTTGCATAAATGCATAATAATCACACCGCTCACAACACATTGAATCACAATTACAGCAGCTGTACTTTTAGACCTCCAAAATATCATTTAATAAAATTATAAAATTACATGCTAATTTATTTCCCGTAATGTGCGCTAATAGTGTACTACCTCTGTGTCCATGGTCCAATGCCATGGACCTATACTGTACGTGAAAAGCACTTACACACTCTTACCATAGGTGATAACCCCCTCTGTGAAAAGCACTCTTATTGGAAGTACCCATTATCTGCAAAGTCTATCCTCATGCTGACACTAAGTCATTAGCTTAAGCTGTCCTCTGTGTAAAATCGTTGTTAATTTCTTTGGCAATGGTGCATGGTGAATTGACACATATTTTCACTGACTGCTGCAAATAAATTACAGATAAATGAAGTAGGGAAACTCACAGCTATGAAGTATTGCACGTATATACAGGTATATTTAAATTACTCAACTGTGTGACGTGTCATAATTCCACTTGAAAAAAAATTTTGGCAGAAAAATAAAAGAAGAAATATGACGATCATTTTCTTTATTTACACCAAGAAGGTAAAATGATACGCGTTCTCTCTCCTTCATGCTTACTGAGCCTTTGCTAATTTTGGCCTGAAGTGCATCTATTGTGCTGTGACGTGTCCCAAGATCAGCGCCACAAAGGCACTTTGTGAGAGATGACACATGTCACATGTCGAAGAAGAAATGCTGGCTATACCTGGATTTCTAACCTTTTTGCTTTAAAACATGTTTCGCTCTCTCAGTGTGCCAAACAAACTTGTCTTTATATACTCCTTCAATTTCTTCGCTTGATATTTTAAGAGGATCATTACATATTGTTTGTTGCATCCATAGCTATCATCACCCATGTATCTCTTCTTCTCACATTTTTCTCCCTTTTCCTCTGCCCAGTCATTTTCTATTTCTCTATCTCACACAGAAACAGAAACACCTCCCTCTCTGTGTAGTTATAGTCATGGTATATCAAAGCATGCATGTCCCACACAGTGGGGGGTTTGGTGAATGAGTGACAAGACCTGCTCTGCTCTTCCCTGACACCTGTCAGAGCCTCATCTGTCATACGTGTGCAGAGATGGAAATGAGCAGGAGTGACACAACATGCCATAGGAGACGGTGACGGCTCATCTCTCGCTGCCGGCTTCTAAATCAGTTGCACAGCTCACAGCTCGTCTGCTGGCTGAGTAACAATAATTATCTACTCCGAGCTTTCAGATGAGCCTTATTTGTAATGCAGTGATGTCACACCACTTGGACCTTTGAGTTGAGATGCTGTGGACGTAGCATGAGAAAGGTGCACGATGTGTGTCTGTCTGCACATGTTTGATCATATTAAACTGCAAATGAGTTTGGAATT